AAAAAATGTAAAAAAGAAATTAATAAAGTTAAATAACAATCTAACATGACAATAATATTAAGAACAATTGAAACTGAATAGAGACATTTATTTCTGTATTAGTCAATGTAAGTTCTTCCCCGTCTTTTTCCGCAATTCCAGAAAAATACCATTAATTCCTGTCCTTTTGGTTTACTCGAAGGACAAATTTAATGAGTAAAAAATAATTTATATATTCAAATGTGTAATATCAATTCATTAATTTAAAAATAATCTAGTTTCTTAATTAAAAAAATTAAAAGACAGCGTTAACACAAATAGATTTACTGTATTGGGAGGTTAATTTTAGGAGGAAGGCATAGTAATTAAAAGGTACCTCGTTGTTAGTAAATACCATATATGTTACACACTGGTATGTGAGGATGCATAATAATATTGTGTAATTTATAAAGATAAAACTCTCTTCACGTGTCTCACAAAAAAGTTCCAGAGAGTAGATGGAGACCCTTGAGACAAGTCACAGAACCAGAAATAGACTAACTGATTGATACTCAACCAATAGATATATACAAATGTTTCGCCAATGGCCTCTGATCTCTCTTCATTATCTTGTTCATCATCTCATTTAATTGTGTTTTTGATGTATCCCAAACCTCCAAACGCTGGTCACAATCAAAATAGTTGAACTTGGTTTTTTTTCATTGTCAATTCAAGAGTTTAAGATTTAGTATTATACAAGTTTATGGGGTTGACCAATGCATGCCAATTCATCATGGTTAACCGATTACTAATGAAAAGGGGTTTAGTATCACTACCATTTCCCTAGAAAAAAAAATTATTTGGTATTTTAATTAATCTAACAGAAAAGATGGGGGACCTTGTATTTTTCCAACTTCTACACGGAAGAACATGAATCATATTATTTTCTTGGAATCCTATCCACATTGCAATGAAACAAAATTAAAGAGGGATATATATGCAGTCCCCACCACCTCACGAAAATTTTATGGATACTATTATTTTCAACTAGTAGAAACGATTTTCAGTACTTATATTTTTGTCCCTTTTAATTATTCAATTCTGGAATTTAAAACATTCCAAAACTCATCCCCAATCAAAATATCTCATTTCTTCACCCTCATTTACCACTTTTTGTAGTAGTTGAAATGAGTTTAAATTAAATGATTAAACTATTTCAGATCTCAATTTAAACAGAAACGATTATCAGAAGACATGCCTATGCTGAATTTGATTTTAGTTCTAAACCAAGTGTAACGCGATAAATTATACATTCAAAGAGTCTAAGAGTTTCACCTGTATAAGATGTCACATCAGATTCAGAGGAACCATTGGGCTTAAATTTTGCTCCACTTGGCTACGCAATTTTAAGGATCTTACTATATTAACAACGAAAGACCGTGAAACATTCTCAAGCTAATGTCATCACGTGGTCGGGGTGTGTCAAAACAAATACAATGAGAGGAATAAAAAGGTGGACCGCATCCAACTGGATGATGGGCCACCAACTATTGATATCGGACACTGTCACACTTCATTGAGCATTAGGATTTATGAATGCTGGATTATTATGACATGCTGACCCACACTGAATGTGACATGCTAATATCATTTTCAAATTTCCTTTTTCTTCCACATGAATGTATGAGTTCATATTCAATATATATACATTTTGGCATTCATGCATGCAAAGCAAGTTAGTCTGAATCAAACCACATCAAGTAGTCCAATCAAGTTCTAGCCGGATTTCAATCCCAACGGCTCTACTAAGATGGACAAAGCTTGTCAAATTCATAAAACTGCACCTAGCCAAATAATAATAGCTCCTTCCAGGACAGTAGCAGTTCTCAGCATACCAATAAAGATGCAATACTTGAAACATAATCATAAGATGATACAAGTTAATGTATAAACCCTACTGGATTCTCAAATATTACAATCAGATTTTTAACATAAAAACACTTTCTGATTAGCCATATCCCATCTAGAGTTCCAGAGGTATTGGTTGTCTATCCTTATCATCAAAGAGTTCAAGTTCGGTAGTTCAACACCATCTTACACGATGAATTTCATGTGAAAAGGTATAAAACTGTGGTCATTCCAGAATAGCAGCAGAGACAAACATAGCAATACAAACTAGTACAATTTTTGTCAGAATATAAGGGGAAGGAGAGTTGGGTGTGCTAAATAAGAGTGTAAGGGAGAAAGGAAGGAGGCATTCAATTCTATTTTGTTATGAACTAAAATACTAATTTTATTCAACGTGTAAAATTGAACAAAAAATATAAGTATATTTTTCCCCTCCACGGATTTCTTCGTTCGCAAAAGATTTTTCCTTTTAAGAACAGCAAAAATTCAATTTGAAAACGACACCGAATAAAATGCCCCTTCGATCCTTCCCCTTTACATTCTCTAATTTATCTCATTAACCCCTTAATTAACTCCCCATTATATACTAACAACCCCCCCCCCCCCCCAAAAAAAAAAAAAAACTTCTTTTTCTCCAGGGTTGAAACTCAAAAAAAAAAAAAAAAAAGGAAATGATTCTAAGGATTTTATTGTGGTTTTCGGAGAATGAGCAGTATTTCCAATTTACTGCCTTCCAAAAAAACTATTCATGCTCAATAGTGTATAGATTGTATAGCCTGATAACTTACAAAGATCTACTATAAAGGCAGCAACAGAGTAAACACATATGTTGTCTTGCTTATTGCTGAAACCACAAGGAAAGGATTGTGGGCACTCTATATTCCACAGGATTGGGTACAAGGGGAAGTAGAGTTTACTAACCTTCCATTAAGTCTAAAATTAACCTTGGTTTAGGATTTACTACCTTTCATTATCGAATCCAATAAGTGAAGACTCATTTGGTCTTGGCCCACTAATTCCAAAATCAAACTCACCAAGTCCACTGCTGCATACTCTGTCCAGTGGTTGCAGTGCTGGTGGCACAGTCAAACATCATATAACTCTCGTCTCCAAGGTTGCTGTTGCATACTCCTGTCATTGTTTCATCATCAGCCATAGATCAGTGGTAAATACACGGCCAACCAATTTGAACCGCTTCAAGTTTGGGAGGCCATTGATACTTACCCTCTTTTATTCACAAATCTGAACCCGACAACTTTTGTTTCTTGGCACACTGGAAATTGTAAAGCCTCAACCTTCAACTCTCGTGTTTACTACTCTGGAGCTATTCATGACCTTGAGCTTGTTAATCTATGTATTTGGTTCTGATTTTGTATTATGTTACAGAACCTCTTCTTATAGCTTCACCTAAAGAATTCCTGCAACTAATTCCTAAGGATCATTACCATAGAAATTGAGTAATTCGATCTTCCATGCCTGATAATGGAACTCTTATTAGATGAATTCTGCTCCATTTTATCTGCATTACTATTGGAATTGGGCAACAAATATCAATGAACAGTATTCTTGATGTTCTACTATATTAATCAAACCTTTTGTGACCCCCTTTTCTTGAGCATTTTCAATGTTTTCAGATATATGATCAATCCCCTTTCGAAGCTTTTCTCTGGATTACTTTTCATTCATTGTGGATTCATCTGCAAAGTCAACTCTAATAACCCTTTATATTATGTTCATCTAACATTGACAAAAGACTGTTTCTTTGATTGCTGCAGCATTTGTTTGATCTCTTTTTTTCCCTCCCACTTCTTGATTTGTAAGAGCTGAGAACTGCATTTGCTGGCCTCCTTCTTGAGAAATTCCACCACATATTCAAGGGCTGTGATTCTTGACCCTACTAACCTCGATCCATGGGATTAATCTCCTATCCAAAATTCGGATCCCACAGAATGGACCATTTGTTATCAATCAAAATACTGGTTTTTATTGATTAAAAAGAACAGAAAATAGGAGAGAAGATACTCCTCTTCCAAGGTTTTTTCCCTTCACAAAGGGTTTCTTCACTCAGATAGCAACAACTCGATCTACAAATGATTACAAAATAGAATGGCCCCTTCTCCCCTAACATTCTCTAAAAGCTATAATTATTCAACTCAAACTCTACTAACTAATATTTAAACTCCACTTCCCCTTGTATCCTAAAAAAGTTTAGTTAAAATAATACAAATACAAGGAAGAGTAAATATGATGATATCCAAGACATCAATTTTCAACAAAAATATTCCTATAATATCATGGAACATAGTACTCTCAGCTTAGGCCTCACACCAAGTATCATCCTTCAGTACTTCTGCAAAATGTAAATGCATACAACTACAACAACAACCACATCTTTTACTATCAAATCATGTCCACAAACAAAATATTCATCTTTTAATTCCTTAATCTTTCACCTACAGTTTTCTCAGCCTTCCTTTGCCTTTAAGAATTGTGGATTACTCACTATCTGATCAACTCTCCTTATTGAGATTTCTACTAGTCTCCACACACACTTAAAGTCTTAAACCACTTACCATTGTCCAACATTCCTTTTAAAAGTTATTCCAGCTCCGATCCAAGTAATGTGTGTATGAGAGGCAGAGAGAAAACTATTGCTACAGTAAGAATGGAAGATAAGGTAATATAGGAAACAAAAAAAAAAATAGCAGCAACACTACTGATTCATAATTTTCCTACCTACAATCCATTATATGCTCTTCAACTATATGATAACAATCTCAGCAACCCAATGACATAAGTAGTTTAAAGAGACTCTAAACCAAAATAGAGGAAACCAACAGGGGTATCATTTATCCTTACCCTTCGCGAGGAATGGCTTGTTGCTTGACACTTTGCTACTGAATCAATAAACATGAACCAAGCACATTTTGAACACAATTGATTCTAGTATATATTAAACCACTTTAAAATATAAGGTGGGAGATGCAAAAATTCCCCTCTGTTCAGAACTCAAGACGGGTAAAGAGTAGTTATTCAAAAATCATATTCTAAATCTATATATTAACCCTCAGTCAAAAAATGTGTTGCTTTCTCCTACATTACCATTATCATATACATATCATATGCGGATGCAGTAAAACTCAAATAATAACTCCTAATGATATTGATAAGCCAGAATGTGTAAGCTTTACAATTAAAGCTGAAAAAAAAAACCTACACCAAATGATATATTATTTGATACGAGAAAAATCAAAATGCTTCCAAGCCATATAAAACACCAGCATACTGAACAAGTCTATCAACTTTGCCAAAATACATTTGTCTAATGTTCTGAAAAGCGTGCAGAGTAAGCAAGCTATCCGAACCGGCCTGATGGCTTTTCCCTACCACTCGTTCCAAATTCAGAGCATGGC